ATATATATATATATATATATATATATATATATATATATATATATATATATATATATATATATATATATATATATATATATATATATATATATATATATATATATATATATATGTATATATATATATATATATATATATATATATATATATATATATATATATATATATATATATATATATATATATATATATATATATATATCTGAAAATGTGTCTGAAAAGATTTATCTGAAAATGTGTTTTTTCTTTAAAAATATTAATATCTTTTATGAAAAAAATGAGAGAAACCAAATTAAATGCAATTGTAATTAATTTTATTTTGGAAAAGATGCATTTTTTAGAAAAAAGATACTTAAATGAGATAAAATTGATGTTATTATTTATAATTTGTTACAAGAAAGATGAGTGTTTTTTTGTGTGCTTATAAACCGTTATGGAGGAAGTACATTTTAAAAACAAATGAGCGTAACACATTAATATTCGTGCGAACGTACATGTATCTAGAACAGAATTCGTACAAACCCAAGAGTTATTATATTTTTTTATATAATTAAAGAAAAAAAATATATATATTAGAAATAATTTATGAATCCAAACTCTGGAAAATGTGTTTTTTTTAATTATTTATGTTACTAATATTTTCATTTCAAAATTTCTTTTATTTTAAGATACTATATTTTAAAGATAATATACGCTATTAATGGAAACTTTTATTTTTAAATTAATTAGTGAATCTTAATATATTTTTGACTAGGAACAAGTGTTTTTTTCCAAAATGTTTTTATAATTAATGTCAAAATAAATATAATATTGCATAAAAGAAAATATATCTTTCTTCTAATTATTTTTATACGTGCAAAAATTTTATTTATAATTCATATATAAATCAAAATAATTATTTCTTTTAAAAATAATAAAATATTTTGGTAAAAGAAATTGTGTTTCTTTTATACATTCTTATTATATCTAAGTTCAAGGGTGATTTCATGCCTGCACATTTGGACGAGTTATTACATTTTTATAATTACAGAAAATAAAGTAAACATATTTAAAATAATGTATCAATCCAAAAATGGGTAAAATGTGTATATTCATGTTGCTAATATTTATTTATGCAATTAGTACTATATTTACAAATATTATTTTATTAGTTGATATTTATAAAATTAAATAATTGCATAAATATTTTTATAAATAATGTTAAAACAAAATTAATATTTACATATGGAAAAATATACGATTAATTCAATATTTGTATATGTGAAAAAACTTTATGTTCCAAATATAAATAAAAATTTGTTTTGCATTTAAAAATAATAAATTATCTTAGTTGAAAACTTTTGTCTTTCTATTTTTTCATTCTTATTACATTTTAAAAATAAATGTGTGTAACACACAAATAGCCGTGCGAACGTACGAGTATCTATATCATAATTTGTGTGAATCCACATGTTATTATATATTTTTTTGTACAATTAAGAAAAATAAACGTAAATATATTTAAAATAATATATGAATCCAAATATGAAATATGCGGGAAAAAATGTGTTTTTTTAAATTATTTATGTTACTAATATTTTTATTTTAAAATTATTTTTAATTTAAGGTAAAATATTTTTTAAAATAATATATGGAAACGTCAGCGTGATGTAATCATTTCACTGATATATGTTATTAATTATAAATATTACTTTTAAATTAATGAACGAATCTTAATTTTTTTTCTAAATAGAAATAAAAAATTTTATGCAAATACTTTTATAAATAACGTTAAAATAAAAATAATATTGCATACAGAAAAAAATATCGTTCATCAATATATTTTTATATATACAAAAATTATATTTATAATGCGTATAATAATCAAAATATATTTTTCTTTTATAAATAATAATATGTTCTGGTATAGCAATTTTGTTTTTCTTTTTCATATTTTTATTATGTTTTAAAAATAAATGTGTGTAACACTCCCGTACCCGTGCAAACGCACTAGTATCTAGAGTTTCGTTTTTGGAATCCTATCGAACCTGTAATATACGTGTAAAGTAATTGGTTCTTTAAGTAGTATCTAGAGTTTGGTGAAATCACCGGTTGTGTGAAAATCTTTTTCGTTACATCTTATATTTACTGGTAAAAAACAAGAACTTTTCAAAGAAATCAAAAAATTGAAAAATGTTTGTATATCTATTTCATTCAAAGTCCATGAATTTGTTGTATTTGTTTCAGTGAATTATTGGGTGCTTCATAGTATGATTAAGTCTTTTTCTCATTAAATAAATAAAAAGTGTGTACTATTTCTCTTTTGGGTTTTTAACAAATTTAAATATATATATATATATATATATATATATATATATATATATATATATATATATATATATATATATATATATATATATATATATATATATATATATATATATATATATATATATATATATATATATATATATATATATATATATATATATATATATATATATATATATATATATATATATATTCTAAAACGTGATCAAATAGAGATTAGTGATTTTTTATATAAAAATATTCCTTAAATGGGTGGGATGGGTTAGATAATACTATAATAAAATTTCTAAATATAAAAAATCATCCAAAAAATATTTTCCTCTAAATGTGAGATATGTGTTAGATGATATAATAAATATAAAAAATTATCTAACACATAATATAATAATATACTACTATATTATTATATTATGTGTTAGATGATTTTTTTCTATTTATTTATTTTTTAATAATGTTTAGAGGAAAATATTTTTTTAGTGGATAAATTTGGAGGGAAGATTGCCACCAAAAATTTGATGTTGCTAAAATTTTATGCAACATTAAACAAATGTAGCCTTTTATTAAAACTAATGTAACAATATAAAAACGTCCCTAAAAGTATTTAAGGGGACAATTATCAAACATTGCTAAAAAAATAGTATAATGACGATCCAAAATCGTCCTCAAAAGTAGTTAAAGGTACAATTAACAATCGTTGTCAAAAAAATAAAAGAGTGACATTCTAAAAACGTTCTCAAAAGTATTTTAGGCAACGATTATTAAGGGTTGCAAATATATTTTTGTCAACAGCCATAAATTGTTGCCTATACGAATTTTAGGCAACAATTTTTACATGTTATCTAAAAAAGTGTTGCCAGAAACCATAAATGTTGTAGTGTTACTCGATCCAAAATTTTCGTCATTGGATACTAATGCCTAGACATAGTGTTAGATTTGATATTCACACATACTATTGTTAGATCGATGTGGAGTCTTGTTGCTTTATAACTATTGGAACTTAATGCTTTGTGTTGGTTAAAAGACTGAGATATCGACTATTAGGTAATGCAATGATCTCATGGGGTTGAGACGGACATGAGATATGAATGAGAACAATAGGTTGTAATGTTAATAGCTGAGTAGAGGAGCATATTACTGACCTATCATTATGCATGATAAATATGTAATGATAAAATATACCCCTAGTAAGGCTTCTCACTGTTAACACTAAATTATTTGTTTTACTTTCTGTCATTTGTTTTTCTATCATTTAATTTCACACATCAAAACAAATATAAAATTATTCTCTAATAAGAATCATAAAAACTGTTGAATGGTCTTTTAACACTACCAGTCTCTATGGATACGATAATTAAAACTTACTTTTATTCTAATAGCAAGGGACTCTAGAATGGGATAACTTTAGTAAGACCCAGAAGAGGAAAACTTATAACTCAGTTAGCCCAAGAAGCATCATAAAGTGCCTTACGGTGATCACGCGGGCATAAACTGGCAGGTAAAGTGCCACACGATCCAACCCTTCACGCCCATTGGGGAAAGCCGCACGACGTACTTTTCTATCCATTAGAGAACAACCTAATTATTATGTGTCAAGGCACGTGACATCTAAAATAACCGATGTTTGGTATTCTTTCAAGTAAGAAATTGATTCTTCCTGCTAACGTGGAGAACTAGGCTTCTTATTGTTACTAATGGAGAGAACCAGTCTTTCTACCCCTACGCTCTAGTCAAGCAGTTGGGCAAAAATCGAATCCTTATCCAACAGTTTGGCCCACAAGTTACTTTATAAATATCTTAATCCTTAAAGTTGAAAAGAATCATTCACTTTTTTTTTTTACATATTTATTTAGATCCTCTTGTGATCATACACTGAGCGAGATTCATCTTATTGTATTTTTCACAAATAATTAAAAAGAAAAATAAATGACATAGTATAAAATATTCTCTAGTTAAAATTTCTTAGAATTATTTTCCACACATAATTAAAAAGAAAAAACAAATGACATCATATAAAATGTCCTCTAGTTGAAATTTCTTGGAATTATAATCCCACGCTCGTATAAATTACGACTAATGGTATTTTCTATTTATGCTAAGCCTAAAATTGAAGCCTTAGAGATTTAAATAATTCACACGGCATTATTCACACGGCATTATGAGTTTAAATTTCAAACTTATTATTTTATTATTATGCAAAAAATAAACAAAACCTGCTCCTTTAAATATTTAGAAAATATTCAACAATGTTTCAATTTTTTAATATGCTAAAATTGAAGTCCCGGTGTTAAGATATTTTAATAATTCATATGAGATTATGAGTCTGAATTTCAACCTTATCATTGTATTCTTATGAAGAAAAAAACCTATTAGCTAGAAAAACATAATAAAAGAAAGCATTTACACAAAAGATATAATAGTTAAATTTTCAAGTCACTACTTGCAAAGACCAAAAACTTTGAAAAATGGAATTAAAACTAATATATTTTTCATTATTTATACAAATAACTACATCATGTGTTATTAAGTCAAGGTTGCATTGTTCTATATAATTGTCTGAAAAATGTATACTTATCACACTTACTCATTTACATCCTAAGTTTCCTAACTTCACCTTACTCATAAATTTTCTCTTCATTAATTTCACATTTGTTGGATTAAAAAACTTGTTTTCCCCTAACCATAGTAAACAAATGGCTATGGGTGCTTTCCAAAATTTCTTCTTCATCATCCTTATCATCTCTTGCTATATCCTCACAATCGTCAGCGAACAAGAGGAGACTGGTTTCGTGAGCTCAATAAATCCTAAGTTGTTTAAAAAGAAAGAAATATTTAGTCACTTTAAATTCTACTGGCAAGACATCGTTGGAGGAAACAACGCTACATCTATTCCAATTATTCAACCTCTCCCCAAATTCAACAACGATTATAGTGTTTTTGGTTTAGTGAGGATATTTGACAACGCTTTAACGTTAGGACCAAAATTGAGCTCAAAGTTGTTAGGTAGGGCACAGGGTTTTTTGGCATCAACCTCACAAACCGAGCTTGATTTTCTTATGGTTATGAACTTTGTTTTGTTTGAAGGAAAATATAACGGGAGTGCCATCACTATCTTAGGAAGGGACGTTGCGTATAATGAAACCAGAGAAATGTCTGTAATTGGTGGGAGCGGTGTTTTTCGATTTGCTAAAGGATATGCTGAAGCTAACACAATTTCTTATGATCCTATAACAGTGAATACTATTGTTGAATACAATATCTTTGTTTCTCATCAATATTGATGTTTTTTGTATTGTTGTTAATAACACAGGCTTTTATCTTTGTATGTTTTTCATGTGAGGGTTGATTTTGTGATATGTGTCCTTCTTTGTTGGTGTGTAATTGTGATCCGTATCATGATTAGAATAATAAAACTTTATACTCTTGAAATATATTTTATTTACATATAAACTAATCATTATTATCATGGTTTAAACTCTACACCTTACCATTCTGCACGAGTTTTAGTAATTACTATCATTTCATTTATGGATAAAAGAAACAAAATAAATCATTTCTATATTTTATATTTGACTATGCGTGTTTCAATAAAACATACAATATTATAAAAAAAATTAATTGTTAATATTAAAAATATAATTTTTTTCACATATACAGTAATTATATCATATCTTATACTATTACTGTATTTGTTATATAATAAAAGTCACTGAGCATGTATAAATATTTTTTTTTTAGTTTAACTGAAATTTTAGTTTCATTATTTTGAATAAAGTTATTTTTTAGTTTTCGATATTTTTTAAACCGAGTTTGATGTCCTATTTTCTATAATTTTTGAAATATTTTTTATTTTTATACCATTTATTACAATTTGATTTTATCATTAGTAATAATTAATATAAGTGAGATAATTATAATTTGAAAATTTTGAAGTTAAAATGTATATAAGTGAGAATAGAATATTGGAGAAGTTTAATTGGCCAAGAATTTTGAAGAGTTATGTTATATCATCTATAATCTATAACTATATATAAAGGGGATACAAGTTTTTGGTGTGGCTTATTTTTGTTCCAAAATTACCCTTATTTAATTGTAATATTTCCATAATTACCTATGCAGTTTGTTTTAATTACAACCATGTGTGAGCAAGAATTTCAACCGCTCAACCAAAACGAAAACCGTCGTACACAGACATTTAAGTGTGAAACAACTGCTCTTCATTTCAATAGCAAAACAAAAGTAATTACAAAACTTGGTAGAGAATCCTGAATAACAATGGAGTAGACTCTTATCGTTTTTTTTTCTTTTTTTCTTATCTACATATTATCCTTTCCTTTCTCCATCCCTCTAATCTATTTTTTTTTTCTTCATGTTTTCACTTTTTAATTTTCTTTTAGATATGTTCTTAAACATGATAAAGTCAAAATATATAAATAATTTAATATTATCACTTTTGTATATGTTCATGTATGTTTTATTGGTTTATTCAATTTAGTTTAATTTTGTTTTGTTCTAATGTGTAGCTTTTGATTTTAGTGTCTGAGTAAAAATACATTGCTCTAATTTTACAAGTTTTGATGAGATTGTCATTTTTCTGTGACTAATACTTTAAGAATCATATATATTTTCATCATTTTAGTGTTAATTTAGGAATCATATATATTTTCACCATTTTAGTGTTAATTTAGGAAATCATATATATTCTCACCATTTTAGTGTTAATTTAATAATCATACATATATTTTCACTATTTTCACCATTACTCAGTTTCTTTCTTGGTCAATCTCTACATTTTCTCCTTCTGCATTTTTCTTTCAATTTTCACAATTACTCAGTGTCAATCTCTATTATGGTTAGTTTTATGCATTTTCATTTTGTAGGATAAGCGGATAATGTCACAATAAAACCATGGCAAAGATCAAAAAGGTTGATGATTAATTTGTGGACATGAGTGAAGTTGATATTTGTTTTGGTGAACATGGTAATATATTTTGATATGTTAGCATGCATTAAATAGTATTAGAATTGACCATTAAAATCTTTTTATGAAATTGAATGCATAACTCTACCATTTCAGATGCACGACATTTGTTTCCATATCTTTCATTTCCAAACCCATGATAATAGTAATTTAATGCCACTGTAAATCATTTTTGGATGTTTGGATGCTATATATATTTTTTCAACTTCACATCAACTGAAGGCATAGATTATATATTCTGCATTGTTCAAATTATTTATGCTTTCCTTCTCCACACATGTAAGTCATGTTTGTTTATCTATAGATTAGGTGTGGTCTGTGTCAATTTGGATGCTATATTCACCAAAGTATGATATGAGAACTAACCATTTACATTGATGTCTATGAGGTGAATTAAAGTTAATTGAATTGCGTTGCAGAAAATAGTTTTGATTTGATATTACAGGAAGTGATTGAAGAAGAAAATTTATGAGAAATCATCTTTTGATGATATATCGGCTTTCGATGAATTATTTTTGCAATGATAGTTCATGGATACCCAATGTAACCACGATATCACTGGGAAAATGTAAAAAAAATAAATATAATATAGAGATAATTGATTATGTTTGTTGCATTAAATTATGTATCTACAATATACACAAAATGAAAGGAGTTGTATTATGTCTTCTCATACAGTTTTCCTTTTAATTATAGGGATTGCTACAACTATTTATTAAAATAAGACCTACAATTTACCAATATCGAAGGTTACGAGGAAAAAAGAAAGTATGCTTTTGTTATCCTTAATGATATTTATTAAGAAAAAAGGTAAGCTTTTGCTTGCTACCCTTAACAATAGTAGTTATTACATAAGACCCTCACTATTTTTTCCTACAAGTACAAGTCATAGTTGCAAGTATGTTTTGTATTATATCAAAAAGACAAAGGTAAAATGGTTCATTGTATCCTTTTATATCTATTAATCATTTAAGAAGAGAGCGAAAACTTAGAAAATATTAGAAACTTTCTTATTCTTGCTCAGTAGACAATAATATTTTCGTAGTTTAATTATCATCAGTTGTCTTTATGGTATATTGTTATTAGTTTTTAAAACTTTTATTATTTTTACTGTACTTTTTATTTTATTAATTATTATTATTTTGGTTTTTTTTTTAATTCTTTTCTATTTCCTTCTTATTTCCTTTTTTTTCTGAATTTTTAATATAGTTTAATCCTTTTTTTTTCTTTATATGTTGCGAAGGAGTTGTTCATATTGTTGAGGCATTTTTCAATACATTTTTTTTACCCTCTATCTATTATATTTTTTTAAAAACTTTTTTACTATTGTGTATTTCAATTCTTTTGTTTTGTCTTTTTTTTAATTATATATTTTTATAGTTTATACAATAATGAGGAAGAGAGGGAAATTTCCAGATTCTTTAGGAATTTAAGAATTGTAATTCAATTTTCATGAATTTTAAATTTGAGATTTCCTTTCATTTATGAGATTAAAATTAGTTTAATTATGTTAGAATATAAAAAGAAGTTTAAAATGTGAGGTGATCATTAGTACAAAATAATAACCATCATCATATAATAAAGATTAAAAAATAAGTCATTTATGTGCTAATCATAACTACAAAATAATGACAATGATTCATTGTAGTAATAGTTTTTTTTATAACAATCCTTTTTTTTCTTTAACAATTATATTAAAGTTTTAATTGATAAGATTGAAATAGTATAAAGATAAAGACTGAGATTTTTTAACCAAATCATCCTTCACTAAAGGTTTTGTATATTTAATGTATAGAGTCAATGTTAATCTAATATTTTCATGTCTAAAACAAACTTTTTAGAAATATTTCCTTTTACAAGTACATATACATGAATATTTATTTTAGAGATATATATGAATATTTATATGTGAGAGAGATAGAGATAGAGTCTAAATAATATCAGTATCTTTAGAAAACATATGTTTTTTTAATAAATAAAGTAATATTATTCATAAAGGTATTAGGGATATCCTAACCCATTTACAAAGTTCATCATATACTATATCCTCCTAGATACAAAATAATTTTTGATTTTGACGGCTGATCAGAACCTGAAGTGGGTCAGAGACAACGTCTGTAATACTGAGTGTGAGAGATGATGAAGAGGGTGTACCTACAACACAATCTGATGCTAAAGTAAGAATTGGGAAAAAAGAGTGCAAGTACAGAGTATGTGTGTATTAGGATGAATATTGAATACCCGACCCTCTTAAATGAGAGGGTTTTTATAGTGCCACCAGCACTTTGCCACTTTTTTTTAATTATAAACAATATATTTTGTTTAATTTTAATTTTAATATTAATTATTTATATGATAAAAAATGTAACATATATTTATATTTTTTGTTTACGAAATATTTATATGATTGAGGAACATTTTATGGTATAACTGATAAAATAGGAAAACAAGAGATCTAAAATTAAAGTATTAAGGTTTTATAGATTTCCAATTCAATTTATATCAATGTTTGGTCTCTATGTTTAAAATATGAGAAAAAAGAAAATATACTAACAGTGTACTATTTTTAAACCCTAAAAATATATATTAACATAGATTATAAATACTCTCTCTTTAGCTGAAATGATATATCATTTTCGTCTAATATACTTTTTGAAGAACTAATAGAGCAATAAGGATTTTTTTTAAAGCTAATGAACCAAAATAAATTTTGAAATCAAATGTATGATTAAAAAGATATTAAATATTTCATTTAAAGTAGAAAAAAAGTATTTTATAGAGAGATATTTCAGGATGTATTTGTAGTTTTTTTAAAGCTTAATAGCACATTGATAAATGATAAGAGGATGTATGAATAATTAATTCAAATCTTTAACAGATAAAAAAAAAATACTATATTACACTAATTACTATTAATTTCACTATTTTTTTCTCTAAACAAATTCTAATATGAGACTCTTACATTTTTTATTTAATACGCAAAACAATGGCAGAAAAAAGAAACTTCTTAGAATAAAGATTTAATGTTCGGCCTTCCTATTAAAGAACGTTATTGATTATACAGTATAAATAGTATTTTGCATTATTCGGTTATTTAATATATATATATAGAATAACTTTGTTTATCATTTTCAAAATGTAATAATATTATTAGCATGTTTAGACTACATATTTTTTTATCTAAATTTTATTTAATTCGGTATGTTTAAAATAATAGTAGCATTAATATATAGTTAATTCACTAAAGTATTTTTAGTATATATACATTTATCATCCTGATTTTAAGACTGCTTGAGGGTA